GCTGGGGAGCCGGGCTGGAGCGGGGAGTGGGAGGTGGGTGTGTGGGGCGGGAGCCCAGAGCCTAGCAGGTTTCCGGAGGCTCAGTGACAGGTGCTTGTGGGGCGTGGTGGGGTCCACCTTCCCTCGCCCTCTGCCAGCTCCCCCCCTTCTCCAGATGGCTTTGCCTAGACCTGCCCCCACCCCCCTCGGGCTCAAGGGGGCACAGTGGGAAACACAGCTCTGCTCAATAGAGCAAAGCGATAGGCTTCTCTTATTTTTCTTTGGATAAAGGATCCGCTGAGCCTGGAAAACGTGGACTCCAGAGAGGGTGGTCTGATCTCAGAGGTTCTGAGGGCCAGAGGGGGAGGGGGAGCCCAGGACATCCACGCCTTATCAAAACCCGCACCCCTAAATACCCCAAGTTTTGTCCAGTCTTCCTCATCTTTATTCCCACCCTACCCCCATCCCCCTCCACAAAAGAAGTTTCTCAGGGTGGGAGGCTGCAAGGCGTAATTTCCAAGGAAGTCATTTCAGGACCCTCCTCTCTGCGGAACATTGAGCCCCTTCACTCCCTCCCCCTCCCCCCCAGAATAGCCCAATGCAAGTTACTCCACAGACCACCGGGCTCACACCTGATTTATAGACTTCGTGCTTATTCCCGGAGCGCCTCCTCTTTAATAGCTCTTCCCTGCCCGTCTTCTTCCTCCATTGCCCTTCTCGTGCAGCACAGGGCACACGGCCACTGTTAAGGACAGTTGCGTCCGGGGAGACGCTGGCCTGCAGGGGCCTACAGAGGCCCACCTAGCTCTAACCTGGGGGGAGGGGAATTCCTGAAACAATGGAGAAAATGCAGTGGGAGCTACGAGGCAGCCTCTCTGGGCGGAAAGCCCTTTCAGCCCCAAGCTGGTTTGAATGCCTAGAAAGGACATAACACTAGCTCACCGCCACAGAGGCCACCTCGCAGTCAGACGGCATAAGTAGGGGTATGATGTCTCTTAGACCAGATACTCTGCGTTCTCTTTCTACCTTGAAATGCGTCTTAATAGGGTTTCCACCTCGGGAGAGAGTTTAATCTTACTTACAGGAAGTGACCCCCCCCAAGTCCTTAGTTTTGTGGTTTGCCTCGGCATCAGTAAACCCACCACGCTCTAATCCCAGCTCTATCGTTGCCTGGCTGGTAAATTGAGGCACAGTGGTTAATCATGCCACCATTTTCATTTTGTGAAGTGGTAAGATTGTAGCTGTGCTGTCTTTCTCAGAGAAATATTGTGGTGACAAAAACTTGGAAAACTCTTGACAAATCATGTTAATATGAACACACGGGACTTTAAATTTGGGGGGGGGGAGTCCCAAATATTATGGGTTAGAGAATTTACATTGTCAGTGGCAAAACAATGAAAATAACCTAAAATGCATATTTGCTAAAATTAGATCAGTTTTTCATGTTACTATCTTATTAATTTCTTTTTTTTAATTTTTAAAGATATTTGTTTTTGAGAGAGAGAGAGAGTGTGTGTGTGAGTGGGGTGAGGGGCAGAGATAGAGGGAGACACAGGATCCAAAGCAGGCTCCAGGCTCTGAGACCGACACGGGGCTTGAACTCAAGAACCATGAGATCGTGACCTGGGCCGAAGTCCGACGCTTAACGGAGTGAGCCACCCAGATGCCCCATCATCTTATTAATTTCTGAGGTAAGACATTGGTTAATATTGGCATATGCCAGTGGCAAGGAATCTTTTCTGGAGGAGTCTTTTTTGGACCTAATGTTGGCACCATCCACTTCACTGTTCAACACGAATTTTGCTGTCTTTTTAAATCAAAAACATTTTACCGAATTATGTTTTGAAACTTTACATAATCATGAGTATCTAAATATTACGAACGACAGCTCTGAAAAAGATGGGCTCTGTGCTTTCAGGACTGACCCTTACAACGAGGGAGAGGGGGGATCTATTTCAGTTATGGAAAGTCACAGGTTCATGCAGTGTTGTTTATTTTTACAGAGCAGGAAATTGAAGCTTGGAGAGGATAAGTGACTTTCCCAAGTTCACACAGAAATTCAGTGAAGCAAGCATTCAGAATTTTGACCCCTGTCCAGTGCTTTCTCAAGCACACCAACATTGTGTGGCTTCTCTAACGCCAGAGAAAGGGCCCTGTGTAGCTCCTACCTGCCATTTGCTCTCTGGCCTCAGTAAGGGAGAGGGAATCAGGTGGAAGCTTTCTACCCAGCATTTGTTAATTAGCATTGAACATTTGATATCAAGTTGCTGTTTTGTCAAGTCTTCCGACAAGAAAAGAAATCCTTTTCTTTTCATCTTCTCCTGGGAAACACTGTCCCCTTTCTTGCTCTTTAATGAAACTTGCTTTCTGATGGGTAATTTGACCTGCACTCTTCTTTAAGGTAAATTTAGTCCCTGCTGAAAGGTGACGGATCAACAGCCACCTGTAAGAGGAACCCTCTATTTCTCAGCACTTTGCACTCACTGCCTATCCTGAAAAGGGGGGCAGGATTCTTAGGCAGACACGAATGAAGTCATAAACACAGGAATAAACTAAGCTGGTAATGGTGTCCCTAGATAGCAGATAAGGGTAGGTAAGCTATCCTGGGTCACAGGCAAAGTCTGGGATGGATGTAGGGACTAAGACCTGGACACGCTTGTTTAAATTTATAAAGAGCCAGAATAACAATGAAAAGGGAAACCAGGTAGCTCTCTAAACTGCGGCTCTAGGCTTGGGAGAACAAAGAAAATTAGGTGCGGAGTACACAGCAGAATGGTAGAGTTGAAAAAGCGGTTCTCAAACTTTGCTGCCCATTGAAAATACTGGGAGAGCTTTGAAACATCCAATATCCAGGCCACACCCCAGATCAATTAGTTCAGAATCCCTGAGGGTGGCATCCAGGTATCAGTGTGTTTATAAAATTCCTCAGGAGATTCCAGTGTACAGGAAGGATGAGAGCCATGGTACCTTTCAGAGGACTGCTCTTCCCAGGGAACCTTCTACCCTGCGGCTCACAGATCTTACCTGGCCCAAATTAGGACAGAGGCAAAACCAGCTGCCCAGGGCCAAATCTTCCTGTCTGGCTCCCTCTCTGCTCTGCCGGCAGAGAGAGGTCAGCTCTCTCGTATCCAGCTTCCATGAACAGATTTTGATAATGATTTACACCTGACTGTGAATTTAAGTGACTGCATTGCCTTTCCCAGGGTATGTGCATCTTGAGCTATATTTCTTTTTTTTTAAATTTTTTTTAATGTTTATTTATTTTTGAGACAGAGAGAGACAGAGCATGAATGGGGGAGGGGCAGAGAGAGAGGGAGACACAGAATGGGAAGCAGGCTCCAGGGTCTGAGCCATCAGCCCAGAGCCTGACTCGGGGCTCCAACTCACAAACCGTGAGATCGTGACCTGAGCTGAAGTCGGATGCTCAACCGACTGAGCCACCCAGGCGCCCCTTGAGCTATATTTCTAATTTTAAGATAAAGGCTTTGTTCTACACACAGTTCAAGCATCGTCCAGCCACTGAAGAAACAAAGTATACTATGTAAGCACCTGCCTAAACTTACTGTTAGCATTGGGCCAATGCTAACATGAATGGATTCTGTAACTGCTGCACTGTTGCTATAGACTACTTCTAAGGGAGAATGTCCTATCTTCTCTTTGTCACTTCTCTCTCCTAAATACACACACACACACTCTTCTGCCAGGCCACCCACACCTAGTAATGCATCTGTGACCTGTGCAATGTCGTAGGCAAACAGGCATGATAATTTGTACATGGGATGTTAAGTGAGAAAAATATGTTTGTTTCCTAAACAGGAATATCTTAGATCAAACACCGAAAAGGTTTTTTAAGAGACATTTTTCTGACATCAAAGGACTCAGCATTTAGCAAAGAATTCATACTCTTTTGCTCCTGGTAAGGACTTCAGAGATCTGATCTTCCCCCCCCCCCCCCCCCCCCCCCCTTGAGCACAGTGATTGAGAGTGCCAGCTTTGGGGTGCCTGGGTGGTTTAGGTGGTTAAGCGTCCGACTCTGGATCTCAGCGCCAGGTCTCAATCTCACAGTTTGTGAGCCCTGCATTGGGCTCTGTGCTGACAGCACGGACCCCACTTGGGACTCTCTCAATCTCTCTCTCAAAATAAATAAATGAACTTAAAAAAAAAAAAAAAAAAACAGTGCCAGCTCTGAATCAAACAGGACTGAGTTATCGTCCCAGCACTTTCAAGATCTTTGTATCTTGGGAAAGTTTCTCTATTTCTCTAAGGTTTGGATTTCTCTTTAAAATGAGGGACATAGGGGCACCTGGGTGGCTCAGTCTGTTAAGTGTCAGACTCTGGATCTCAGCTCAGGTCTTGATCTCAAGATGATCGTGAATTCAAGCCCCATGTTGGGCTCTGTGCTGGGCAGGAAGCCTACTTAAAAAATAAATAAAATAAAAAATAAAAATAAAATGGGGATAGTGTGCTTGGGTGGCTCAGTCAGTTAAGCATCTGACTCTTGATTTTGGCTCAGGTCATGATCTCACAGTTTGTTGGTTCGAGCCCCACGTTTGGCTCTGTGCCGACAGCGAGGAGCCTGCTCTCTCTGCACCTCCTCCCCTACTCACTCACTCACTCACTCTCTAAAAATAAATAAACATTAAAAAATAATAAAATAAAATGGGGGTATAACTTCAAAAAGGACTGAAATTCTTATAGATGCTACAATAAGGATGAGCCTTGAAAACATGGTGAGACAAGCAAGACACAAAAGGACAAATATTGTGTAATTCCTTTATATGAGGTACCTAGAATTGGTAAACTTATAGAGACAGAAAATAGGATGGTGATTGCTAGGGGCTGCAGAGCGAAGGGAATGGGGAATTATTGTTTAATGGGTATAGGATTTCAGTTTTATTTTATTTTATTTATTTTTTATTTTTTTTTCGTAATGTTTTTATTTATTTTTGAGACAGAGAGACAGAGCATGAGCAGGGAAGGGGCAGAGAGAGAGGGAGACACAGAATCGGAAGCAAGCTCCAGGCTCTGAGCCGTCAGCACAGAGCCCGATACGGGGCTCGAACTCACAGACTGTGAGATCATGACCTGAGCCGAAGTCGGACACTCAACTGACTGAGCCACCCAGGAGCCCCAAGGATTTCAATTTTAAAAGATGAAAGAGTTTTGGAGATGGATGGTGGTAATGGTTGCACAACATTGTGAATATACTTAATCACTGAGTCATACGCTTAAAAGTGGTTAAAATGGTAAATTTTGTTATGTATATTTTACCACACATTAAAAAAAAAAAAATGAATGGAGATGCACCTGGTTGGCTCTGTCAGTTGGGGTTCCAACTCTTGGTTTTACCTCAGGTCATGATGTTATGGTACATGGGTTTGAGCCCTGGGTTGGGCTCTGTGTTGGCGGTATGGAATCCGCTTGGGATTCTCTCTCCTTCTCTCTCTGCCCCTCCCCTGCACGCGATGTCTTTCAAATAAATAGATAAATGAACTTAAAACAAATTGAGTGGAGATAATAATAGAGTTGGGAGGAATCAAGGGGAAATATGTGTAGGGCTAGCATAGTACCTGCCAAATAGTAAATGTTCCCGAAATATTGGCAGGAAGTTCTATCATTTAAATTTTTTTAACGTCTATTTATTTTTGAGAGCAAGAGAGACAGTGCACAAGCAGGGGAGGGGCAGAGAAAGAGGGAGACACAGAATCTGAAGCAGGTTCCAGGCTCTGAACTGTCAGTACGGAACCTGACACAGGCTCAAACCCATGAACTGTGAGATCATGATCTGAGCCAAAGTCAGACGCTCAACTGACTGAGTCACCCAGGTGCACCCCTAGAAGTGCTATTATTTAAAGACCAATAACTGAAGCCCCGGGGGAAGAATGGATTCATCCAAGGTCATGTAGCTTCAAGGTCAAAGCTGGATTAAAACCCAGGTTTCCGGGGTGCCTGGGTGGCTCAGTCGGTTGGGCGTCTGACTTCGGGCCAGGTCATGATCTCACAGTTCATGAGTTTGAGCCCCGTGTCAGGCTCCGTGCTGACAGCTCAGAGCCTGGAGCCTGCTTTGGATTCTGTGTCTCCCTCTCTCTCTGCCCCTCCCCAGCTGATGCTCACACTCTGTCTCTGTCAAAAATAAATAAACTTAAAATTTTTTTTAATTAAAAAAAAAAAAAACAACCCAGGTTTCCTGTTTCCTGATCCAGTGCTCCATATTGCACCTGGCCCGAGTTACTTTCTATCTACTCAGAAATATTTTCTTTTTGACCCAGGGGTACCTAGGGCTGAAAGGCTTAGACTCAATACCCTGAGGGATTATGCTCTCCACATCCATATATAAAGAGATCAGAGCCCTCAGGACTCTCTTTTTGCCTTCCTTCTCCTTTTGCTGCTGTTGCTGTCTGCCAGCTTCCATTTCTCCCTCTAGATCTGTTTGGCTGTTGTCCTGGTTTCTCCTTCTCACTAAATATCTGGGTTTCTGATCGTTTCCTTCATTTCCCAGATGTACTAGTTTACGTTTTCCCTATTCACATCTCATATGTTCCTAATCCAGATTTCTAGACTCTGTAGGGGAGAGAGATTTTTTTTTCTCTCTCCAGAGTTTTTAAGTAAAAAGACTATTTCCTTCTCATCACTTATGTGCAGTAACTATTCTGTTAGGTTTTGGTGTTCTGGTCTGGGAAGCTGAACAAAAACAGGGCTAGAAAACAGGTTTTTAGACCATTTCTTGGTGACGTTTCAGGTCACTGCAGAGATGAGGCTTTGGACATGTGCGACAAAGGCTGAGCATTTGCTTGTCAGGTATGGTAAACGTTGCCCAAAAGAAGGCAAAGCCTCCTGAAAACTTCGGTTGCACCCTAGCCTGCTAAATAAATGTCTGCTGATGCTCATGAGGAAACCCGTAGTTTCACAGGTACACCAGAGGACAGAGAGTCCTCCCTACCCTAATTTGGGGGCATGCAGAACAAAAAAATGTTTCTGGGGTAGAAGAAAAAGTCAGCCGCCTGAAGATCACACAAGCAAATAGAAACCGTATCGATGGAAAAGGAGGGAATGGGAAAGTTATCTGTCTTACACGAGGAGGAAGGAATTTTAGGTTTGCTCTGGTACAGCCACCTCATCTTCCAGATGTGACTCGGTGACACTCCAGGGCGTGGAAGTAGCCCCGGAGAATTCTGATCAGAAAGCCCTTTGCTTTCTTTAGGCAGACCTTCAGAGGTTACTACTGCTTTCTTACTCCTTACCTTTGTGTTTCTGACGTTTCTGGCTCAAAGGCAAAATTCAGCCGGAATTTGCTGCTGCCATCGGATGTGAGCCTGCACTGTTTCTGCAGGGATGACTCTGTAGCAGCAACCCCATGCCCCAGAGTGTTCACAGCCCCAAGTGGAAGCCCTAGCACAAGGGGCTTAAGAATCCACTCAGGGCAGTGGTGAAAGATTTCTTTTGACGCCTGCACAAGCTCTTCGTCAACAGTGGTACTACGGGGAGTGGGTGAGCAGACTTGGGAAGTGTGGGGAGAGGAGAAGTTGTCTCTTGGGGGGGGCAGGGGTTCGGCATTGTTCCACAATCCAGCCAGCAGGGGAGCAGGACTGAGAGGCAACTCCGAGGCTCTACGGGAAGTCTCCTGTAGAGCCGGAGGAGGAAACATCCGGCCTGCAGCAGCATTAAGGAAGGCTAATGTGTCCCAGGAGGGAAGGATGCCACCATCATGAACCTCTAAATATGGGCACAGTGGGATCCCAGCAAAGCAGTGACTTGAGGAGAATGTGTTCTACCCAAAACACAGTATGTCTGTTAAAGTTGTTCCATAGCACAGGGGAGCACTGATTTCATCTCAGGTCATTTTTTTACAACAACAGGTGGAAAGGTAAATTTAACCCATGACTCAGTTTTAGTCACTACAAATACATTATCCTAGAGCTTTTCATGCACACATCTCATAGAGAAGGACTGAAGTTCACCAAGAGATGCCTGAGGTTTGGTCAGGTTTCAGCCCTCGCAGGAAGTGCCACTGTCCTCACATATGATAACAATACTTACATGCATTAAGTACTTAGTTATGCTAGGGACTACTATACCACATAAATTGAGCACTTATTTATGCTATTTATCTTTCCAAGTGCTTTACACCTATTAACTCATTCCAATCCTCATGATAACCTAATGAGGTAGCTAGTATTTTACAGATGAGGAAACAGGCACAGAGAGGCAAAGTAAACGAACCCAAGTTGCACAGCTAACCAGGATTTGAATCCTGAAAGTGTGGCTTCAGAACCCTTGTTTTTCTTTTTTTTGTTTTGTTTTGTTTTTTTTTTTTTTTTTTTTTTTTTTTTGCTAGAACCCTTGTTCTTAGTACCACACTGCACTGCCCAATGAGTCAACTGTTTGCTAAATAGTTTATCCCTGAGGGGCAGAACTTCCAGACTTTCACAGTGTGAACATACATAGCCATATACTGATACAGTATATCCAAAACTTGCCTGAGCCTAAGAATTACCTGGACACTTGCAAAGATATAGATTCCCAGACTCTACCCTGGATCCACGTTCAAGCAAATTTGCAAAATTCTAATTTAGTAGAGTGAGCCCACTAGCCCAGAGCATCAGGAAACCTGTTTTGGTCCTGACAAAGTGCTCTAAGTGTTTCTGAGACTTTGGGCAATGTCACTTCTCAATACCCCAAGTTACTCTACTATCTGCCTCTGACTGGACTATTATAGGAATACATAAAATTCTCCCCCCCCAACAAAGAAAATCTATTACTTTATTATTTTAAGTTTATTTAATTCCTTTAGTAATCTTTACACTCAATGCGGGGCTGGAACTGACGACCCCAAGATCAAGCGTTGCATGCTCTACCTACTGAGCCAGCCAGGCGCCCCAGAAAATCTGTTACTTTAAAAACAGATGCAAGTACGTTAATTCATACTTTTGTTTTGTTTTGTTTCACCGTGGCCTCCCTTGAAGCACAAACCTGAGTCCCTCATCCAGACCTCTCCTCCAGCCTCTACCCTAGGTGACACGGATCCGCACCCCAAGCCAGGCTGCATCTGACCGACATTAGCTCTCTCCCTCTGGGAGCTCTGATCTGTTCTCAGCTCAGCCCAACAATGAGAAACTTTTTTCTCTTCTCCCTCAGGGGAACCTTCACGTTTATCCAATTCATTCTCTTGCAACCCAACTCTCCAGAAAGAAAAGGGGGGAAAATCCCACCCCTAAGAGACTGGCCTCCAGGTCTGAGGAGGTTACTTAGCAACGACACAAAGACCAGTGAGCAAAGGGGGACCTGAGGAGAAAACTCTTGGGTGGGGAGACAGAGCCAGTTTGAAAACTCCATTTCATCCGGAGAAAAACAAGGAAAACACAAACAGAATCCAATCTGAGAAAAGCCAAGCAGCGGGGCTTCTCCCCCAGCACAGGTCAATGCCTGGCTACTCTCTGCATCCAACTTCTTCAAACCCCCAATGACCAAGTCCTCCCCTGGCTTCACCCGTGGCCCGGGTGCCCTCCCTTGCCCTGGCCTGACCCACACGGGCTGGGACTCAGGGCTCCCGCACCCCTCCCCAGGCACCCACCGTTCTCAGACGCGCTGGGACCTTCGCAGTCCGAGATTAACTGTTGGGGTTTCCGCTGCTTTCGCCGAGACATTCCCGGGTGGAGGTGGGGTAGGGAGGGGCAAAGCTCACTTAGTCCTAACCGGGGTGACCTGGTCTGGTCTCCCCTTGGGTCTGAAGCCAACTGATGCCTCTCCCCCAGTGCTAATCACTGGGAAGCAGAGATGGTCTCCCTTCCCAGAGACAGACAGACAGACTGGCCCGCGCTCCCTCTGATTCTCTGTCCCTGACTCTCTCTCTCTCTCTCTCTCTTTCTCTCTCAATCTCTGCAAGTCTTTAAAGGGGAGACGCCCCCTTTTTTTTCTTCAGCTTCTTCCCTACGCTTCTGCAGCTCCCATTGTAAAAGCAAAAATCCTAATCTTTCCGCACACTCTTTTCTTTTGTACTGCAGAGGGAAGGATTTAACCCTCTCCTCACTGCCAGGGCTCAGGCCTCTCCCTGTGCTGTCTGTTCAGAAAATGTCCCTGCTTGTTTTTCTAACTCTTCATCCCAGGTCTCCACAGTGCTTTTTGGTTCTCTCATGATTCGATGCCACCTTGTTTGATGATGCGACTGCTTCTGGGGTGTAAAGCTGAAATTAGAACTTTCTGGTATATCCTGATTATGAGGCCAAGAAGTCAGCTACCACCAGTTGAAACTGGGGAGATGAAAGGCTGGCGAAAAGACTGAGTGTAGATGGACAGTCGTTATAATAAAACTAAATATAAAGAGGGCTCTTTATAATTTAAAGGATATTTTCATATACGTGACATATTTTGAATATTACAGCTCTGACCACTCCTATTTATAGATGATTCTCTTTATTTTCATTTTTTAATGTTTATTTATTTATTTTGAGAGAGAGAGCGAGACACTCCCAAGCTGCCAGTGCAGAGCCCTATGTGGAGCTCGATCCCACAAAACTGTGAGATCATGACCTGAGCCAAAATCAAGAGTCAGCCGCTCAACCAACTGAGCCAACCAGGCATTCCAGAGATGACTTTCTTCGCAGATAAGCAAGAGGCTCAGCGAGGTTAAGTAATCTATCCAAGGTTGCACAGCCATCATGTAACAGAGGCAGGCCTGGAAGCCAGGTACATCTGATGGCAGGCTAGCATTTTTTTTCTCTATATTGTTAAAGGTACAATAAAGGTACCAGGCTCCTAGCATGAAAAAAAAAAAAAGTGATTGGTCTTAAGGAATCTCATTTAAAATAATGGGGCTCCTGGGTGGCTCAGTCAGTTGAGTGTCCTACTTCGGCTCGGGTCATGATCTCACAGTCCGTGAGTTTGAGCCCTGTGGTGGGCTCTGTGCTGACAATTCAGAGCCTGGAACCTGCTTCAGATTCTGTGTCTCCCTCTCTATGCCCCTCCCCTGCTTGTACTCTCTCTCTTTCTCTCTCTCTCTCAAAAATAAAATAAAAACATTAAAAAATAAAATAACAACAGAGTTAGTGACTTTTTTTGTTTCTCCCACATCACAGCTCTTGGTGCTGAAGGGATACTACATCTGAAAGGATGATACAGATGAGTTCTATCTACTCCAGAGTAGAATCTACAAGGAGGCACTTCCAGCTCAGTATGAAGGAACTTTCTAATAGTGTAATGGACTTTCCAGTAAATGGGTAAGCTCTCTGTAGTAATTTCTCACAGAGGCTGAGAACTGACAAGGATTCTGCAGAAAGAATTTCCTTGTGGATATCATATTTGACCTTGAAAAATGTCTCTGTCTCTAGAGGGAAACTTACCACAAGACACTCTTAAAGACAGAGAACAAACTGAGGGTTGATGGAGGAAGGGTGATGGGTTAGATGGATGTTGGGTACTTGTGATGAACACTGGCTGTTGTGTGGAGGTGATGAATCCCTGAATTCTACTGCTGAAACCAATATTGCACTGTATGTTAACTAACTAGAATTTAAATTAAAAAAAAAATTCTACAGGAGCTCTTGGTGGCTCAGTTGGTTAAGTGTTCAACTTTGGCTCAAGTCATGATCTCACGGTTTGTGGGTTCCAGCCCCACGTCGGGCTCCGTGCTGACAGCTCAGAGCCTGGAGCCTGATTCAGATTCTGTGTCTCCCTCTCTCTGACCCCCCCACTTGTGCTGTCTCTCTCTCTCTCTCTCTCAAAAATAAACATCAAGAAAAATTCTCCATGTCTAAAATACATCATTTGGGAACCAGCGAGGTATCTGCTCTCAGCCTGCACATTAAGGGTGATTCAGTTATTCTTTAATTTCTGGCCATGGTGTCCCATGGTGTCTGAGTAAAACTGTGCTACTGGGCATAGACTATCCAGCTGTGTCCCAGCTCTTCCCTATGATGCAGTAAGTCCTCTCCTAATCTTATTTACCTTTTACTCTCCTGGCTGAGATGAGAGAGCGTCTGAAACACCATCCATTAGGAAAGTGAGAATTCTTTTCCCTTTTGGAGTTTAGTGATATAAATCTCTGATGGCTGCGTCTTCAGAGAAAAATAAAACCAAGCTCACTCACAGTGTCTGGTGCAAAATTCCCCCGATTGCCTCCCTTACCCAGGTCCAGGCTGGGTGACAATGCTAAGAAAGGGAGAGAGAGGCAACAGATGGCTGGAAGGTTGCTGGTGAGAAATGAGGAGGCAGGTACCCACATCTGAAGGGGTTTGGGAAGCCCTCTGATCTCTGCTTTGGCGTTCACCGAATCTCCATTATATTCCCGGTTCTTCGGGGTCAGGACCCTGGGTGGCTCCCTCATGTTCTGCTCTTGGAAGTCTTGCTGACATTGTCTAATTCATCCTGTTAACTTCTCTGTGCGGCAGGTGCAGTTATCACCAGGCTATTGTAGGGGAAATGGGGACCCTGAGACCAGGGAAGCTTCTAATTCCTCAGTGGAATAGATTGGATCCTGTCTCTCTCAGCCTACTGTTTCCATCATTTACTTCCATTTTGGGGGGTGGGGTGGGGTGGGGAAGAAACAAGAGAAATAATATAGCTTCCTGGTCTTCGCAAGAGTCTATGATGTCTGAGGGCAGAATTGGGGGTCCAACATTTGTGTCCTTCCTGGGTCTTGCCTGTCTTGTCTTTTCCTAGTTTTTTCCCTCCCTCCTTTTTGCTGGCCTTATTGTGAAAGGAAGGACTCTTTCCCCTCCTCTCCTTTCTTCCGCCCTCCCCCATTTACCATTTTTTTCCTTTTACCTCTCCTCTGTGGCCTCTTGACCTCCCCACAGAGTTACAAAAGTAAAATCCTTGAAGAGATGCTGCTGTGGGAATGTTAATGAGCCTTCCCCACAAAGGGGCAAAGACTTTACTTCACTGAGTTGGAAAAAAGCCCCTTTGAAAAGGGGTTTCTGTGTGTGGTGAAGTGGAGAGGGGAGGGGAAGGGGGGGACAGGGAGGGAGAGAAAGAGCGAGAAAATGAAAGGAGGAGAGAGAAATGAGAGAGAGAAAAAGAGTGAGAGAGAGAGACACACACAGAGACAGAGAGACTGACTTAATAGCAGAAGAGAATATTAAAACACTTTTCATTGTTCAAATGACGATTTGATTTTTGGAAAACATTTCATGGTCTTTTGACCTTGTAAACTAAGCGCTTGCATTCCCAAGAAATTGAAGAGGCACTCAAGGGCATTGAAGATAAAGAAGGATCGGAAAAAGGGACTTCTTCTGGCACTCTACCCCCAGTTCCTTCCCATGTGTAGGAGCCTGGGAGGCTCTGGGGGAGTATTCTGGATGGGGCGAGCTGGTGGTGAAGACGGGCTCTTTCTTTTGGCTCTGTGGCTCCTTCTTATGCTATTTTCTAATTTTATCAACATTTTCTGTGTTGGCTTTTCTATTGGCTGTTAGCCTAATGTTTTTTTTCTCTCCTCAGGAATAGCTTAAAGTACTGTTGTGGTGTTTACATCCCAGAGCCAATTATCAAGCCAGACCACTTGAGCCTAATCCCTGCATCTTTCATTTGTGAGCACAGGTTGCCTCTGACTTAGTACAAACAGATGTGAAGGTATTGTTAGCATCAAAATTCAGTCCTCAAAAAGCAAAGATGAGTTGTTGCTTTTTAAAGAAAACCAGTCATTATGTTGGATTCTCAGAGATTTTCCAACACGTTTTGGTTTGTGATGTCCGCACGACACCCCCGTTAAAGAAGCCCTGAACTGTGAGGAACAAAGGAAAGGTGATCGGAATGAGATCCTTGGAAGAGAAAGACGAGGAGCCAGCGAGGAATGCTAATTTCCAGAGCTTTATACACCCCGCGGGATTCACCGTCCCTTTTGCTTACCCGTCACACGGGGAGTTACCGAATTCACATTCCTCCTCTCTCTCCTAGATCTACTGAATCTCTAGGGGTGGGGCCTAAGAGTTTTCAATAAACTCTTAAATGATTCTTTTGCAGAGGCATTTGTGTTTGGTGGTTTCTAAACCTTGAGCTCTAGATTCCTAGGCAACTGCAGTGTTGCAGGAAATCCATGTACATGGGAAGGGAGCCCAGCCTGTGGCCAGAATAGATAACACACCTTTCACATGTAGTAACTCCTGGTGGCCAAATGTTTGCTGATTTTTTTTAATTTTTAATTTTTTAATTTTTAATAAAAAGGGGAGGGGCAGAGAAAGAGGGAGACAGAAGATCTGAAGTGGGCTCTGTGCTGACAGCAGAGAGCCCCATGGGGGGCTGGAACTCATGAGCCTTGAGATTATGACCTGAGCCAAAGTCTGCCATTTAACCAACTGAGCCACCCAGGCACCCCGGGATTAATGTGCTTTTAAGTCATTTAAAAGTGTTTCTAAACTCAGAGTGGCTTTTGTCCTAAAAATACAACTATAGTCATATCGGGGCCCAGCACATTTTTTTGGGGCATTTTATTCAAGGCCTCTTCTGTCAGGACAACACACTTCTCTGAGCACCCCTCCTTTTTCCTAATTTGTAGAAGAGGAGGCATCGTGGAGGCAGTTCCTCTCCCTCCAGAAGACTTAGGGTCCTACGAGGAGGAAGGAATCTGATGTTAATTGCAGGAGAACTAAGTTCGGAATCTACAAAGGCATGGGATGTTTCTATTGATAAGGGTAATCATAGTTTAGGCGCATTC